AGACAAGGCTGTGTTCTGAGGAACTTGAGTCACTGTTGCAGGAGGTCACAGTTGCCAAGACTGGGATTTCCAGACTGAGGGGCTGCTGTTCTCCTGCACCATGGGGGAGAAGACGCAAGGCACAAGCTCCTGCAGAATGTGCTTGCCCGGCTCCTACCTAAGGAATTCCTGGAGCTAAGTGGGGGAATGAGCTGACTCCAGGTCAGCTCGGCCAGCTTGTCTCGATTGAGACCCCTGTTATCTCTGCAGCCTCGGCTGAGATCGCTGACCTGGCCAGGCTGTAACYGCGGCCACTTCCAACAACCTGTGGCCATCGGCAGCAGGAGCCACCGGCYGAGAGGGTCAAACAGCCGCCGAGGTTCAACCTTCCTCCCCCTCGTTCCAGCACCCCAAGGGCTCCCAATAAACGGGCGGGTGCCGGATGGCTGCTCTGCTCCTGCTCTGGAGGGGACGAGGGCCAGAGCTGCGTTTAGCCGCAGTGAAAGGAGCCGAGGGCAGCGGTCCTTCATCGGGCTAATTTGATTGAGGAGGGAAAAAGAAAACCAAACAATTCCAAGCACCCGTTTTGGGTGGGTGGGCACACAGATGTGACCTTTCAGAGCTGTTTAACTGGCTGCCATTGTTATTTTCAGAAATTTGCACAATTTTCCAGTGAACTATTTCTTGAATGATTTGGTCCAACTTGAGTGATCCGGTTCAACACACGGATTTTATTCTTAAACACCGAAAGAGCAAACTGCTCACTGTATCCCGCTGCCCTCCCGTATGTGCCCCTGAGCACGAGCGAAGTGCTTCACCAGCCCCGTGCAAAAAGTTGCAATGAATTCAAGAGTTTCCTGGATACTACAGAGGTTGTTATAGAACCACAGTATGGTTGAGGTTGGAAGGRAGCTCTAGAGATCATCTAGTCCACCCCCCTGCTCCAGCARGGACACCCAGAGCACGGGACACAGGGATCACCAAMGGGGATTCAGGATTAGGCCTGAAGAGAGAGCTCCCGAAGAACAGGAGAGCGAAACAGCAGCCCTGTCCTTTAAGCTGCTGTCAAAGGTGCTCAGCAGGGCTCGGGCTGGTCCTGCCCTTGGGGCCAGGGCTGCTGAGAGGGAACAGGCTTCTGGGGACAAGAGGCACAGAAACGCATGAGGAGTCAAGCAAAGTTCATGTATGTGTATTTCTTTTCTCTTTTTTTTTTTTTTTTTTTTTAAAGGTTTAGCTCATTTACCTTGTTAATTCCTGAATTAATACATAATACAAAGCTCATGATTGTTGCACACATTCTGTTTACCCACAGTCAAAGAAAAGCAAGGATAGCCCCGTTTCGGAAAGGTTAAAATCCAAAAGCAGAATCAGAGACTCTGAGGCTCACCGAGGCCATCAAAGACAAGACAAGCACGGCATTCTCATGCATTTATTTATATAAAGGTTGCTTCCTACTGCTGTCATCATTTGCAGACACCTTTGGGGGACTCGCAGTGCAGATTTGGCRTCTTGCAGAATTTTATAGAGCTGCAGGTTAATACTACAAGACGTTCAGAYACAGCACAGGGCCAAGCTGGCCATGATAAGGCCTCCCAACATCAGCATATTCCATGCTCAATCCCAGCAATGGGACTCTTTTCTAGCCACAGTTTAAAGGAAAAATAGTTTTTCTTAAATAATGGAGTGTATCATCATGTTATGACTTTCTGTAGAGACAAAATAGATAGTTTGTGTAAGCAGCAGAGCAGCACAGTTCAGAAGACTGTGTGATGAATTAGTGACCACAGATTGATGAAAAGCAGAGGTATTTGATTTGTAAATATTTGCTCAAATTTGAGCGCTCACTCRCCATTTGTATTCATTTTTGTGACAAGCAAACTGTGTGAATAGCATTAGAATAAATGCCCAAGAAAAACATCAAGGATAGATGATCAAATACTCAAAAGGTTCTGATTTTGAATTTCCTCACGAAATCTGCAATTATAGTGACAACAAAACAGGCTATTCTTCCAAACAAAGAGGGGAAAAAGCAATTTGTATATTTAAATATCAGAAGGTGAACTGAAAAGCATAAAAAAATCCTTCTGAACAAAGAACTGTATGCAGACACATAAATTGCTAGCAAATAAAATAAGAAAAACATATTTTCAGCAGTGCTCAGGTCAGCATGTATTAAATTCTTTTACCTTTCCAACTCTGCTCAAAAATCATCCCGTAACTTCACTACGCGGAGTGCTGCTCTTCAGGACACGCATTCGGGACACAGGAACCACGGCCTGYTCTTGTTGTGCTGAAGTCTAAACCGGCTCCTTGAACACCCTGGMACTCTCAAACTGCCCAAACTAACACAACTGCTTGATTCTCTTTTTTGGTATCACTAATTCATGCGATTACTTGTAATCCAATGCCATTTGCAAAACGTCTTTGTGCTCCGGGGTGCACGATCCGTGCACGGGATGTCGCGGAGTGGCTCTGCGCCTCCAGTTCCACATTCGGGTGCTCCAGATGACTGGCGAGCAGACAGGGATGTCACCCTGGGGAACTAGGGACGAGGCCACCACGGGGTGACCCCCACGCTGCCAGCAGAGGGGAAGGCACCTACCTTTCTCCAGGGTGTTTCCTACTCCTCTATCTCTAAGCTGCTTCTCCTAGTCCTGTTTTCTCAGGCTCTTTTTTCCTACTCCTGTTTTCTCAGGATCTCAGAAGTGTGCTCCCATCTTGGGCCACAAAACTCAGTATTTTGCTTTTCTATAACATTTTTTTTCCTCCAGTTATCCTATAATACTCCTCCTATTCTCAAACTATGTGTTAAAAAAGGGACAAATAACCAAGTCAGAATTTTGCAACTGTAGTTCTGAAACACAGCAATTAATGACAAACTGGAGCTATAACAGGGGGCAGCAGCTGAASCCAAAACAGAGCCTGAGTCTCACTCAGGTCACTGCTCTAATCCCTATCGTATCCAAAGGCCACCGTTCTTCTTGTTAGTGTGGGCTGGAGACTGTTCCCTGCCTCATGTTTGCAGAAGAGATCACAGGACAAGGGAGCTTTATTAAAAATACTTCTTTTTTTCCAACTTTTTTTTTTTTTTTTTTTTTTTTTTTTTTAGGACAGAATACAATGGACTCACACTTTTTTTTTTTTTTTTTTTTTAGGACAGAATACAATGGACTCACACTTTACTAGCACCTTTTCTCAGTGTGAGATCTTTTCCCCTTGGAAACGCTCTGTCCTTACTGCACAGGGGAGCTACGTGTTGCTGCCCTTAGGCTGCTTCCCTCTGTGCTGGGCACTGCGCAGCCTCCATCCCACCATGGGGCTGGGAATGACACCTCGGGCTCCTAAGCATGTCTCTGGTCCAGAGGAATTTACCCACCTAAATAAAGGTGCACCACAGTTTCTGTGCTTTCCAAATGGGTGATACATGATGTTACAAGGTCACAAACATCTGAGGCATCTGAGTTCAACAGGTCCTAATTCCACCAATTCCAATTCCAATGCGTTTGGAAGACACATATGCTCATAATGGTTTCAGAGTCTAAGTAAGGAATATAAATTGTCTCCACAAAAGCAATGTCACTTCCTGAATCAAAACTACTTGGATTCTATTCCCTATCAAAGCAGAGTTTTCTGTTGCTTCATTTCAAGTTCTGGCAATGGAAGGAACTGACCTTTCCCAGGCAGACTGCACTTACGAGTGACCTTACATTTGCTCAAATCCTTTGCTCTGCTTCTACACACAGCACAGATTTTCTTTCCATCACATTTTCCACAAATGTCTCACTAGGCTTATCACTACAAACAAGTAAGATGCTCCTTGGTTGCAAAAAGTATCTGCATGGGAAAAGAGGCTTAAAAGGGGCATTTAATTACACAGAACTGAGACGGTTCTACCTGCAACAAATCCTCAACCATTTGACCAATTTCTGTTATGAAAAGCAGCAAAGGGCAAACCTATCGTTGTAAACTGAACAGTTTCTATTTTACACATCTGTCTAACTTTTCCCTGAACGGTACATTACTGCGTCACGAGCTTGCTCCATTTAAAAAGGCAACATCTGACACTGAACTGCAAAACACAGACAAAAGGAAATATTTAGTATGTAGGGTAAATCTTTTATACGAATCAACGCTGAAAAGAGAGTAACATAGAGCAGTATTCAAAACTAAGGTATTTGAATATAAAAGAATGTATACAGTGTTCATGAAAAACAAAGGGCTGTTAACCCTCTTCAGGGATCATTAAAGGAGCAGAACTTCGCTTAAAGAACATTTTCTAAACTTGTTTAATCTGCAAAACATTTAAAAACTCATTGCTAATAAACCTTAATAACTTTGTATTTACAAAATTGAAAATAAATACGTATCAGTAATATCGGTGCCATATCTTTAGATGTTTCAACAGCAATATTTAGCTTTTTCAATGGCTTATTGCTAAATCAAAAAAAAAAAAAAAAGCACTTAGAGAATTACTTCCTTTAAGAGCTGTCTGAAATGGAACATTGTAATACGTAATAGGTAGATACAAGCGGGGAAAAAAAAGGTAAGCCCCAAAACACAGGGTTTGTTTTGAAACTCGGCTGCTGTTCTGATGTTGGTAGAACTGGGGAGCGCGAGCGGCAATCCCTCCSGCTGCACACAGCCCAACGCTGCTCCCACTCACCTGCTCCTTACACACMGCTGGCAGGGAGCATCTCTTCCGAAGCAGGAGCCATGCCTGAATGGCATCTCCCGGGAGCCACTTAAAAACTGTATTTAAAACCACCAGAATAATGACAGTAAGTCAGACTTGTTGACGCATTTTATTGTGAGATGGGGAGTCTGGTAAAAAACTAGAAAATGACCATGATGTAACAAGGAACTTAAAAATGAAGTTTCAGATTTGTAACATACATACATGAATACAGGAACAAATTGGCACAAAAATGTTAAACGTTGTTCCCAACACTGTTTATAAGATTATTCTAATTTGGCTTACTAAGGAAATGAGTTTTATGGTTAGGCTAATCTCTTAATAAAACTGCAGAGCATCATGCTATTAGTCACACAGTGAATTTTAAAATTTAAGAGCTTTATATTAAAAACTGGGTAAAGGTAAAATGAATTGATTGCAATTGTAAAATTAATACATTCCCATTTTAATTCTTCTGTTCTACAGTCCAAGGCAAGTATAAATGTTAACATAACACTGTTAAATCAAATCTCAATGCAAGAGAACCAATTGCATCTCTACTTTAAATCTTATCAACTTTCCAAATTTTCATACTAAAATATATTATTGTATTAATACAAACTACAGTATTATACACTACACTGTGTAATAAATAAAGAAATATAAAAATAAGACACATAAATATAAAAGTTTTCTAAAACTAAAAAGGTACATATGTCAGTAAGAAGGGTATTAATACTGCCAGGTTTGAAGACATACAGTACAAAATGTTGCACAGATCTATAAACTAAAAGAAATAAAATAATACTGATAGGTAAAAATCAGCTAACATTGTTAATAAATGGGGTCCATAATAACTAACATTTGAAAATACTTATGAGCCAGATAACACTTCATGTATGTGTCTGAAATTAAAGTAAACCAATAAAGCAATAAAGCAGATTAGAAAATTTCCCTTGTAATTATTGGTAGAGAAATTCTGCAAGTCAGGTATTAACCAAAATACCACCAAACAATTAAATAATGAAATATACCAGTGTTCTTACTTCTCTGATGGCTGAGTGTTTTTTTCCCCATGATTAGTTTAGAAGATTGATACAAATCAACAAATGCTAGTTATTGTAGGCCACACATTGGAGAAAGGCCCCTTCGAGCCTTTGTAATACTGATAAATGGCACTTACAGCACACAGGTCTTGCATAAGGCCAAAGGAGATACAAAGCTTCATATCATATCCTTCATATTGTTACTACATACTCAAAACACAATTACAAACACTGATTTTGACGACTTTGCTGTCCTTTCCAGTATTAACACTGTTAGTCCCTGCAATCAGAACTCAACAACAATCTTTTCAACTACATTTTTAACCACATGAGTAAGAAACTTCAGTTCTTCTATCATCTCTGCTTCCTTAAGGCTAACAATACACTTTAAATGATAATATGCTCTACTACAACATCTAATRTTAGAAACCGCTACCTTCCAGGCTGAATTTACAAAGGTAGCCCAGCACTGTTTGCAACTGCATTCGGGGTTTCTGCAAAAGGGAATTCTGTAGTGCAGAAGTTCTCACATTTTAAAGACATAATAAAATACTGAAGCGGATTTAGGAAATGTTTTTACCATTAAAAAAAAAAATCATATAAATCTCTCCCAATTGTACAGCTCAAAAATTAATCAACTTAAGAACGAAAATTAATACTGATAAAACAAACAATGCCAGATGCTTGTCTAATAAATCAGGCTTCCTACAACCTGGTAAACCTTTGCTTCCAGAGTCATTGCATTTTTTTCTAATCTGCTTCATGTTACAAACTTGTTCCTAACTTTGAAAGCTGTGTGAAAAATTACTAAGTTTGAGGTTCAGGCACACCTGGATTTCTTTTTTTTTCTTTTTTATATATATATTTTTTTACACAGTAGTGAACAGAAATCACAGTATGCAGGCTACTGCGTTTCCATGAATAGCATGTATAATATAGAACGAACTTCATTACCTTTTTTTTTTCCTTATAGAAAAAACTATCATTTAAGCTTTATCTGTTTTTTCCTCTGATCCCTGCCCGTCATTCTGCATAACTCCCTCTTCCCCACTGCTTCCTTGATCTACAGCTTCGCCGCTCTCGTCACCTTCAGTTTTCCCTTCTTCTTCCTCGTCCGCTCCCTCTTGTAGTTTCCCACATTCTTTCTCTTCCTGAAGTCCTTCCAGCTCTTTTTCCTCCTCCTCCTCCTCCTCCTTTTCGCTGTCCTCCTCTTCCTCCCGGGTGAGGCTCTCCCTCTCATCGGAGTCGAGGTGGGACGGGGAGGCGCGGGTGCCGCGGGCCTCGCTGCCGGGGGGCTCCGGCCCGGCCTCCTCGGCCTCGGCGCCGTCGCGCTCCTCCGCCTCGCGCTTGCAGTAGGAGTAGCGGTGGTTCATGTGCTGAGAGTAGGAGCCCGAGTGCGAGAAGCGCTTCCCACACTTGTCACACTGGTAGGGCTTCTCCCCCGAGTGCAGCCGCATGTGCTCGATCAAGTGGTGTTTGTGTTTAAAGGCCTTTTTGCAGATCCCGCACTCGTGAGGTCTCTTACCTACAAAATAAAGCACAGGCATTTGCAGCTTCTGTATATTAAGGATTAAAAAGTGTATTCCCCTCCCCCCCCCACATAATTCTATAGGTAAATGCATTGCCAATAATTCATAGTTCTACATAAGAAGGTGCTCCAGCATTATCAGGCTGAGACTCTCACATGGGACCACAGGAGAGCAAGGGCAACTTGTGAGCTTTCTAGGAAAGCTGCACATCAAAACAGATGTGCAGATAAACAGACCTGTGGATGCAACCTGTAGCCCAAAAAACAGCTGAATATGTATGAACTAGAAAAGGAGAATTATTTTCTTGGAGTGGGAGTCATTCAAATTCAAAATCATTTCAACTTCTTTTTTTCTAAATTGATGAAATTTAAATTAACTTTTGTATTATCTTTTGCACAAAAGCCTCTGCATCGTGTTGGAGGTAAAAGGAAAATGATCCCATGACCTAGGTTGATACAGCTGAGTGCCTCATGTGTAAAATTTACTGAGTACACACACATTAAGCAGAAAAATCTCTCTGGATTTGCTTAAATCTTCTTCTGCTCTGYTTCTCTGCTTTCTTCTTTTTGCCTTTCTGTTGCTGTTTTTAGAGACTCTYGTAAACCCAGCAGGAACCCTGCTATGTTATTTTGTTTCCAACACTCAAAGTTGTTAGGCAAAACAATTTYGCACAGTCCTGACATAAAAGACAGAGACAGTGATGTAGCAGCTTTCTGGTGGCTCTGCAGAGAGAGCAGTATTTCCATGTCTAACTTGATCACACAAACACCACCTCTGAACACAATACCGAAAATAGAACGGAAAATAACCAATTGTGCTATGAAAATAAGGAATTAAAGGAGTTTCAAAACATGAAAGATATGAAAATACATACTCTTAACAAATACTTGAAAAATATGATCAAAGGTAAAGAAAAGGGGATCCTGCATCTTTTGATTTCTGTGTTTAAATAAGATGAAACAAAACAACATTAATATGCAAAAAAATTATGGAGACAATGAACCAAGTAAAGGAGAAAATTCCTTGAAGACATGTCAGAAAATATTGTTTTAAAAATATGGAAGGCAATAATGGCTATTCAAGAAAGACTGAAGATGCGAGGCTTCTCCAAGCTGTGGAATCCCATCAGCTCTGAGGCAGGTGGTCCAATCCCTCGTCCACGTCAGCAGCCCCTCACCAGCAGCTCCAGCAGCTCCACGTCCCTCCTGCACTGGGGGGCCCAGCGCTGCACACAGTGCTCCAGAGGTGGCCTCACCAGGGCTGAGGAGAGCAGGGGATGCACCCCAGGGTGCCACAGGCCACATGGGCTCACTGTGGTCTCATGGGGAACTCGCTGTCCACCACGACCCCCAGGGCCTTCTCTGCAGAGCTGCTCTCCAGCAGGGCAGCCTCCAGCCTGGACCAGCACGTGGGCTTATCCCCCACGTGCAGGACCTTGCACTCGCCCTTGTTGAACCTCATGAGGTTCCTCTCCAGCCTGTCCAGGGCCCTCTGAGGGCAGCACAGCCCTCTGGGCTATCAGCCACTTCCCCCTTTACTTGAGAAAGTAAATTAGAAGTAAATAAAAAATCTCTGTTTACAGATATGGCTCACCGCTGATTGCCCATGAGCCAGATGGATGAAAACACTGTTTTTCAATTCAGGATTTAATTCTTAAAAACGTAAAGAAGAAACATGGAATAACATTGTTAGCCAAATAAATACACAAAACACACTTTTATGAAGAACTCTGAGCCCATGAGATAATAAGGGATACTGTATTTCCCTCTGCTCTGCCAACACATTCTGAGAACTGGATTCCAGTTAAGATTATCAGTTACCCACTACCGATACACTAATAATTTGAAGTTCCACTTCCTACTACCTACCTGTGTGTTCATACTTATGTCTCAATAGCGAACTGCTCTTCTGGAATATTTTGTCACATAAGTCACATGCATACATCCCATTTTCTGTCTTTCTCATCTTTTTCTTTGGGGGTGTTGAATCAGAATCATTTTGATCTTCTACGTTCGATACTCCTTCTGAGCTAGTGTCTTGCCTTTCATCCTTAAAAAACACAGAAATGGTTGAGCTCAAAAAAAAAAAAATACTGTGACAGTAGAAAAGGTTTTAAGATGTAACCTGGAGGTGTATTGTGATCTTCATTCAATTCAGTAAATGGTCAAACAAATGTTTTAGACTTACGTAACCACAAAAAGTCTTCTGCTTACGTCTGTCTTGGTCCTCACTACCATATGCACACGGACTCTCAGTGGGATTGATTTTAATCATACTCAAATTTGACTGCTGGCCAGATCTAAACTATAGCGATGCATCACGTTTTAAGGCACAGAAAATAAATGTAATGTTCAGGAGGGAAGGAAGATGATAAAGCACCTCMAGCAGTGTCAGGAACTTCAAAGATCAAATTAAATATTTAGATATATTTTTGAAGTAATGCTTGTCACCCACATCTTGCTATTTTCCAGATTTTATGAAAGCTAATGCTTTTTGTTTTTGAGAAAGTTTTCACATRAAACTATTTAAAAAATCATTCAAATCTGCAAAATTAATCACCTTATTGCTGATAAGTCTACTACAAATCTGGAAAAAAAAATCCAAAATTAAAAACTTAATATAGTCTTAGAAATTATAACTCTGTAATATGTTTCTAAGTATTTCAAGGGCTGAAATTCACGTAAAATATTTGCTATTGATATCAGCAGTATCAAAACATACCAAATTAATTCTATCATATATAAAATTTTAACACAAAGTCTCTCCACAAAGTCTCCAGTTGAACAGCCCTTCTCCACGTTTCAGCTAAAAATGCTGCATCTCTGCACGAATCACTTTTATTTTCTGCTCTGTCAATATGCTCAGTACATGCAGGTAATTCAGCAGCACGGACTCGGATCAGATCACCTCTGAAAGTACCCAGGAAGACACAGAACAAGACACAGCAATGGCACATGCACAAGATAAATACCCGCCCTAYTCCAACTGAAAATGCATCTGGGTTTTGTTTACAGTGTCATTATCGTATGGCATGAATTCAGTTGCACCTCAAACCACGAGAGCAATATGAGCAAGTATCACAGCAGAAAGTAGACAGAGGAGCAAGAAGTTCCAAATTTTCTGGGTGTGTGGAAAACGAGGAAACGTGGAGCCAGCAAGAAGTGCAAGCAATGGCTTTACTTTGCTTTTTGGATTAGATTGAATTGGCTTTAAAATATTTAGCACTAATGATTCAGGAGACACTTTGGAATGACTTAACATAGTGAAGAAGTGACCCGTGCAGGCACAAAACTCTAGTTTGTGACAGTCTGAACTCAAGCTGACTAGCTTTGCAGAGGAATTAGCAGGAACATCCACTACTCATGAACTCATGTGGCAAATAAACATCTCAGTTTATTGTAGTTAATTCATCTCGAAAATTTTCCATTACCTTACCAAGGCCACAGAAAGAACATGCCAAATACAACATGCAGGAATACACAGAAACTGAAGTACCTGATTTCCATTGGCCTGGGTCTGTTTTGGTGGTGTTTCTTGAACTGCAGGAGTTACTGTAGTAGAGTATGTGTAAGCCACCTGTGGAATCAAAATGGTTTGCTTATTGGCAGCAAGAGCTCTTAAGCATGGAACACTGTTCTGGTCAGCAATGGCAACAATTGTAGGTAACTGGGCAGTGACTGTAGGTATAGCAATATTTATGGGATTGGCACTTGGTGGGATTACATTTACAATAGGATCAGAGTCTGTAACACTGTTGTCCTTTTGTGGTTCTTTTTTTGCACAAGTTAAGTTCAAAGGTTCTTCTTGGACAGAATAAACACTGTTCTGGTAAACACTAGTTATGGTAGATCTTTCCAATGATTCTCCATGTTGCTTTGGTAGCGAAAGGTCAAGAGGTTCTATTTGTGGCTCTTCTTGTACACCCTCTGCCGTGTACGTATAACCCTGTGAATTTCTCGATGAAGAAAGGTTTAGTGGCGATGGGGATGGCGTGCTACTGCGGGAACCATTTTGAGTTGATCCCTCTGATAAAGTCTGAGATTTTGTACTGACAGGATTCTGTGAATTGCTTGTGCTGCTCTGGGGTTCGCTCGCATTTGTAGGTCCTGCTTGATCATCATTGTCTGCAGGACTGCTTAATTTAGCTTGTTCAGGGGAAGATGGTCCAGGTGACTGCACAGAAATTTGTCCAGCTTGCATTTTTTCAAACCACTTTTTTACCACATCGAGTGGTAGGTTTACTGAATCGGCTATTTTTGAAAGCTCTTCCGCGCTTGGTTGTGCATTTAATGCGTAATATGCTTTTAGGAGCGATAAAAGGTTCTTCAAAGGTGGCTGGCCAGGAGACATGTTGCCCTCCCCAGTGTCTGGTGGGACTGGGGATTCGGGCTTCTCAGMTTCTGTTCCACCGGACTGAGGAGGCTGAGGAGGCTGAGGAGGGGTTTTCGTTTCATAGTGCTTTAATTCTTGAAGTGCATTGAGATCTCCTGGACAGTCATCACAAAGAAGACAAGTGCTATCATTGGTCTCTCCTTCGAAGTTTTTATCTTTCTCAGACTTCACTGTAAGATCTTCTGGTAATTTTTCATTTTTGCAACTGTTTGTAGGAACAGGGTTTTCCTTTTTTAGATTTTGAGGAACAACCTGAAGTTGACTTGGCTGCTCTAAGCTGTAGTTGATGATAATTTTGGTTGTCCCATCCTGGTCAACCAAAGGAAGACTTATAGCTGAAATGAGGGAATGGCCAGCTTGTTGTATAGATGCATTGCTGATTGTTTCTTGTTCTTTGGATGCGAGATTAGCGTGATTGTTTTCCAATACTTGCCTTATTACATTACCATCCACTGCTACTTTAAGTACATTTTGAATGTCACTTAAGTTGATGCTTATGGGAGACACCAGGCCTACTGTTGGTAGAACAACAGCTTGCACCACACCCTGAGGAGAACTGGTTGCCTGCAAAGGGCTACCACCACTAAAAACCCCATTCTGCAAAGGGGTTGAACAATTAATTCCTGAAGCGACCACTATGGGCTTGAATTCATAATCCACAGGTTCAGTTTTAATTTGGTTAACAGGAAGTTGCTCTTGCAAGGGTTTATTTTCTATCTTTTGTCGTATCTGTGGTCTTGCTGGGCTACCTGGTGATGCAGAAAGGGAAGGGGAGGAGCACTGAGACGTCTTGAGACCTGACCGGGCTCGACCATTCACGGGCATCAAACCAATACACTTCTTACTGCTTATGTGTGAACTGTATGAACCAGAATGAGAAAAACGTTTCTTGCAGTTTGGGCACTCATATGGCTTCTCTCCTATAAACAACAACAAAGAAAAAGAAAAATAAAGAAAGGAATGTGCAAATAGTTTACTGGGTTACAGTGTAATTTTGTCAAGTGACAGTAACTAGAAAAGGATACATTAAATTGACTCATCAAAGAACTCTAGCTAAAAAAAAAAAATCTTTTGCAAATTGAACAGATCAAGTAATGCTATCATCTATAGTTCTGATCCTAGGATCTTTCCACAATTCTCATCACAGCACAATAGTAAATGTAAGATGGGATTCAATAATCAGAATAAATTCTCCTATTTTCCAGTACTGTTTACACTATGGTATAAATCAACTATGTATTGTATTTGTGTATTTCAATAAACTTCTTTCAAATAGTAACACTACTAACTTGAGGGGCAGCATAACTCCTACAGAAAGGAAAGAAATTAAGTCTATGATTAACCAAAGTAAAAATACAAATGGCATAAATGGAAATCATAAAGCAATAAAATGCTATGCATATTTTATTGGAGAAAGCTCAAATACTTTATACAAAGTACAGTTTTCCTATATATTCCTATAATAATCATCAGCTAAATAAAACCAAGCAAAGCTTAAGTAAGGGAAACCAGATGTGCAGAGACAGAAGCCTGTTTTGCCTTCAGAGATACATCTTGGGTTAAACTGTCAGGAAGCTCCATACAGCTCTGCAATTATTAGACCTACAGAAAGTGCTCCCTTTTCAGAGCATCTGTAGTATGCAGGAAAAAGAAAAAGCCACAACTGGCCTTGTTCAAACTGAAAAAATGTGTTGGCTGCAGTTTCTCCACTCACAGATGCAGATGGTACTACCCTGTGGAAATGAAGGTGATGCTTGCTGAAGTAGGACCTCCAAATGAAGCTCACCTAATTGCCACCACCCAGGCTGAGCAACAGACGTGAAAGGAAAAGCCAGCCTAAAACCTTGGTTTTGGACTTACTGTGAACAGATAAATTAAAGTTAAGGTGTAAAACTGAGAATCTCTTTTAAATGACTAAACTAGATTTTCTTATGAATTGAAACATATACTGTTATAAGAGTATATCACAATTTCAGGTTTGTATCCTGAGATACCTTAATGTGATTTAGTCTTGAGTGATGAAAATCACAGCCASAGTTGGAAGTGCAGTTGCTGTACACTTACTATTAATGAATTAAGATTTTCTAATAACGCTGATAACAAGCTGAGTGCTCTGCAAATAATTGAGAAAGAATAGACTGGCAAAAAAAGGAAGGAGCCTTTTTTTTTGTAGCCTCTGTATCTCCTGCTACAAGTGAATCTTTCTGTAAGTATCAGATCTGAAGCCACAGCTGTAGATCCTCTTGAGTTATCCTAAGTATTTTCTGCAGGTAGATGAAGACTTCAGTCAGTAGTTACAGGGTTTCAGAGTAAGAAAAAAGAAAGCACCAGTATTTTAAACTTAAGACTTATGAGAGTAAGTCTTGCTCAAGACCAAAGTTATAAATTATGAGTACAAATCACAGTATTAACTACAAGATCCAATGCTTGGTTTATTTACCACTGTGGATTCGTAGGTGCTCCTTTAGATGGTGTTTATATTTAAAAGCTTTTCCACATTCAGTGCACTTGAATTTTCGGTTACCACTGGACTGCGTCACATGCCTCTGCAAGAAAATATTCGTAATTATTGCACAAAACAACACAGCATATGTGAACACAACCGTCTATTTTCACCCTGCAACAAAGAAGATAAAACTCAAAATTGAACGTACTAGTCATAATCTCATGGGTCTGAAGGTGGTATATGTTATATATATACAAAAAAGCAACAAATTAGAAATTAGGTTGAAGTTGAGCCAGGTGTATCTTCTGAATAAAAACAGTACTGTAAAAAGATCACTGTTCTAACTTAACTTACTGTAATGAGGGTTGCACTGACACGTTATGTGGGTGAGAAGTTCCAAAATATATACTAAGTTTACTTGTGAAAACAAAAAATACCAAACGAAAAGCCCCACCGAGCCACCAAATATGCCAAAGCGTATGGCACTCAAGATAAAGAAACATTGAAGTGTTTAAAGTTTAAACAGTTAACTTGATTTTTCCATTTGCATGCTTCCAGCTCTTACTGTTGGCCTTGATCCCTTTAAGTAATGGTGGCACGTAATGCTCAAAGAGGGCTCAATAACAGGAAAGGCATTATCAGCCACAATTAGTTCTCGAAATAAATTGAAAAAAAAAAAAAAAAAAAAAACTGAGAAATTTCTCATGTACATAACATCAAACCTTTTCATTATTTGCATTGAAGCTCTGAAATGATTTTACCTTGTGACAACTTTTATTGCTAAGTTCCAACTTATTTTCAATTCAGTTCTTATATTATCATAGCTTTAAAACCAGCAAAATCTAATAATGATATATTTAAATGTATACCGCTGAATTTTATTACAAGTGGCATAAATGAATGTGTATTGTTAAGGTTAAGGATAATACACTTTTAAAAGTTGGACCTCCTTAATTCCCTGTACGAAATGGGGGTTCAAACCCCTTCTTTAAGCAGAGCTACTTTTACAGAAGGACACAGGATCACCACTTGGACGCAGCTGCAGATTTTGGGCACTTGTGGCAAGCATTTTCATAAACGCCTTGATAGAGCTATTCACGTCCTCTGGGGAAACCGTTTGCATAGAGGCAGCCACCGCAGAGCAGCTGACGCGTGTGACCGTCCTCCTGCGCGTGTGACCGTCCTCCTGCGCGGAGCTGCGGCCTGGGCTCCGCGCCGCATGACATGGCGGCGCCTGGCCCGGCGCTGAGGGAAGGCCTGTAGCGCCCGCCCGGATCGGCGTCGCAGAGCGGGGATGAGTAAAAGGGACGGATGAGGCCTGTATTCCCATTTGTGACTTCTGATCTTGAGAATATTTTGTTGTAACAGGAGGCTTGAACAATCACAGAATCACAGGATGGCTGAGGTTGGAAGGGACCTCTAGAGATCATSCAGCACAACCCCCTGCTCCAGCAGGGACACCCAGAGCWCGGGGCACAGGGCGTCATCGAGGTGAGTTTGGGAGATCTCCAGAGCAGGAGACTCCACAGCCTCCSTGRGCAGYCTGTTCCAGGGCTCTGTCACCTTCACAGTGAAGAAGTTTGTCACAGTGAGGAAGTTCTCTGGTATGAGATACACTGACCGTATCATCAAACTCTCTYCTCTACACTCCCATCCTTCTTTATACGATGCAGCAGATTAACACATGTTGAAAAGAGATGATGTGAACTGTTTCCCCCTAAATCCAATACTCATTACAATAACGTGGGCTGGTAGGGTTAGTAAACAGGATTATCCAAATCCCAAGTCYGTTCAACGAAGGCTCACTCTGTGTCTAATGTCACCTTCAGCAAATGTTCACTTCCCATTGATCTTAAATATGGGAAAGCAAAGCACATGGCAGGAGAGAGCCCTCTGTTTTTCTCCTACAATCCTTTCTACTCCTGTTTCTACTTCTCTCTGCATCTACCAACACTCACCTAGCAAATGGAATTTTGTAAGGGATTACTAAATAGSTGATAATCCTAAAAACGAATCAATAGGTGATTGATGTTTGCAAGTTTTGCATAATTATTCAGTATTCAGCAGATATTTTTATGATTTTCAGTAAAAAAACCCAAGTTATTTCCTGCATAGGTCATATTTGAAGACATAACAACTCGTCTTTTTTGCCATCGCTTGTCTAAATCAAAATTAGCAAAGGCCAATGTATAGATTTCCATAGCAAATCCAGCGCAGATCTGTTTAAAATGGTTCATTCCTTGTTGATCTGCATTTGTTTCTTCTCTGTAACAAAGGAGTCCAAAATGTTTCTGGACATTTCTGGACATCATATTTCCCACTGGGGACTATAAGGGGGAGATGACATTTTGAAAGATGTTAAGTAGCAGCAACTCTAGTATTAGTTCTCCTAAGGACAGCAATGTATCTAATTCATGGTTGAATCAAAGGTATTATACTGATCTAAATACTGAACTTTATATTGCTTTTACCCCAATGAAAATTTAGTTATGGCTCCCCAAAACATTAATAACTCCCTGGTAGGAAAAATATATTCTTAAAAGTAATTTTAAAACTGATGAACTGGAAACTCAATTTTAGTCAGTGTTTCTAATTAGAAACTCTATTGCAGATCATAACCACAGGACAAAGACAGATAAGACTGCCTGTCACTAAAACATGATTGAGATTACTCAAGTAAGTTCAATCTTAACTTTGACTTGAATTTTTTAATTCTTTTTTTCTGATAAGTACATTTTTACACATTAGTTACTGAGCTACATTGAACYATAATTCCAATCTAACATTTTCTTCACTGTATAACATATAAGGCAGCGAAATATTCTGCTACTTCTTACTAGCTATTGCTCTAGGCAGCCGATTCCTTGTGTGGAGAGCAGCAGTGCCTCAAAAAGCAACCCTAGCATGGCACACATTTYCTCGTTTCTACCACCCCTCCTCTTCACTCCCAAACACTGCTGATACAAATGAAGATTTCCTCTAGTCAACTGAACTAAGTTCCTAAACAKAATAGGCACATTTGCAAAACTCCTTGGTGGGTGAAAGAAGGCTATAGCCCATGGATGAGCATTTGGTCAGGTTGGTGTTTTCACCTCCCAGCAGTTCCTGTCCTCATCCCTATTGTCTCCTCCGTCCCCATCTTTGCAGTGAGCCTCCACTCTCACTTTTCCTGACCACCACTTGATCCTTCCTGCCTGGTTTATCAGCTCTTTTGCTTACCTGCCTATCTCCCAAGCTTTGTTTAACTAAGCACCTTGAGGAGGACACGCTACAGGACTGTGCCTGTCCRGGGCACTCTCCTCTCCTGAGCTAACTTCAGCAGTTCAGAGAACTAGGCCATGATTTACTTAAGCCTGTGCACAATCAGCTACTGCTGTTTGACTTGAGATTACACAGCTAACGGACCCCAGCACATAGARAGCCACTGCAGGGCTAGACAAACAGGAAAACTCAATGTTATTGTATGCTTTCAGTCCTGTTTTTGTTCCAGTCTCAAAAGTACCCTATCTATCTATCTACCTACCTACCTACCTACCTACCTACCTACCTATAACTTCCAAAGCACAGAAGCTTGCATTGGTCTTATCAAATTTTGAATGAAATTTTCCGTTTTCCTAGTCACAGCTATAAGCAGTCTGGAGCTCTCTGTTACATAGCATTTTCATATATTTTGCCTTATTATATTTGTAATGCTTTATTTTTTAATTGTCTTTCTTATAGTTTATGTGGATTTTTTTTTCCAATTGGGAAACATGTACTCAGAGTTACCCTCCAGAATATTTTTTTAATAATTGAGAAAGCTTCTTCTCTATTGCCTTTCATAATCTCTCATTTCTTTTTCTCAGTTTCAAATGTTATTCTCCCTTTTTCTTAAATACTTATTTTCTGTGTCTCTGATACGTGGTGTATTTTTAATGTACTTTATATAACTGTTGCTTTTTGCTAATTAATCTCAAAATTCACAGAAYACTCTATACAACTTTAGGACTGAAAGATGAACTATCAGTATTAAGGTCTGTTACTAGCTAGTAACACTGCTCTGCATTAATGGATTATTTTGTTTTTGGCTGAAGTTCACTCTTTTCATGTAAGAGAACAATAATTAATGAATGGTAATCCTGCAAAGTTCTTTTTGAAAATAGCAATTACAGGTATTAAAGTCTTGAAGACGCATCACTTCTCAGCTATGTCCATAACAATGTGAAATTTTAATAGATTAGCTACACATCATTCACTTTATTGAATATTCACTTTATTCGTTTATTGAGATAAAAAGCTATAACAGATATAAAACCTGTTATTCAGTGCCTTCAAAAATATGAAGTCACTAATACATGAAACATCTGCAGCAATAACATTTAAGTATGTCTCTACACTAATTTTTCTGAGTTTGCTCGATATTTTTTCTCCTTTCATTCAAAGTATTTTTAAATATAGCAATTTGGTTCCTTCCAATCTCTTCCTTCTTCTTCTGGTTTTAGACTTCTTGTTGAAAAAAAAATCCAGATTACTACTTTAAATAAATTTTCATAGTTTAAAGTGACCAAAATACACAAAGAGCATTTACAGGTTTCACAGATAAAAATATATGCTATATGCAAGATGATAATACCTTTAAAGTCAAAGCCAAGCCAATAAGAGAGTAACACAGACATGGATGGGAAACACTTTTAAATAAACAAGAATTGCCTTGCCAGATAACACCCAGTTTGAGGTTACGCCAGACCTTGTGAGATAGTTATATCCTCACAACAGGGGGGCTGATACTTCTCGTAGTATTTTTTCCTGTTTAATTTACCTGTGAGTGCAAACACTCAGATATGAAAACGCACACCACATTTTAACCTTGTTAGAACTGGACTTCATGGTAACTTGTAGTACAGAGATTAACATGCAGGATGTGAAAGAGTATCTTCTACATTCTAAATTATATTTTTTCTAAGGCTAATTTGCAAGAGGCACAAATCATGTATTAGGATATGATCAATATGGATAAATACCTGAGGGGAGAATGTAAAGAAGATGGGGCCAAACTGTTCTTGGTGGTGGCCAGTGACAGGACAAGGGGTAATGGGTATAAATTAAAACACAGGAAGTTCCATCTCCATATGAGGAAGAACTTGACTGTGAGAGGTTGGATTAGATGGTCTCTACAACCATTCTGTGATTCTGTGATTAACCAGTGGACACACACAAAAAAGTATCTGTAAGTTTGGTAAATACTTCCAATGACAAAAAATTATACACGGCCGTGCAACTAAGATGAAAGAAAGCACAGGTTCATGTCTGCTCATGGGTTCAGACTTGCTCTTTTGTCACGTAGGAAAGATGTCTGACTTCAGCAATACATTTGTTAATTAAGTGCCACAGGCCTGGGACATCAGCATACAGAGAATCTGATACTAATGTCTTATGTGCTTGGCATTTTGCGCACATACCAAACTGCAGTGTTGTTAGAGAGGATGATAAATATTTAATTCAAATGCCACTTACCTGATCTCTTCCTGATTTGTGTGATGTCATGTGGCGGTCAAGCTGTGTCCGATAGGCAAACGTGTAACTGCATAAGGAGCAACTAAAGTTATCTTCATTTTTTTCATGGCGGTATTTAATGTGTTCCTTCAGAGATGTGAAACGTTTGTACCCTCTGTCACAATACGGGCAAGTAAGCAGTTGTGAAAATGCATCCGGCGTTCCTACACGGGAGAGACAATATAGCAAGTTTCAGCAAACTGCCACCTCCAAGCTTACTGACAGCAACAAACTTGCTTTAAATAGACATATTGGACTGTAAGGAAGCTGCTGGAAGCTGCGTACCTTTTAGGAAGGGAATAATGACTATTTAGATTTTTTCCACAAGTACCAAGTTATTCCTTATGGTACAGTTGACCAGTATACACTGGAGACTGCCCGGACAGTACTACCCCAAACCACCATGGTTCGTCTACTGGACTGCCTTAAACAATATTAAAACCCCATACATATACATTGCTGGTTAAAAACTAGCCTGAAAATTGTAAAACATGGTTTCAGTCTTCCGAGGTCTGGTTAGCCCAGTCACTGGCACTCCTGGCATCAATGCCTGGCATCAATACAAAATAATTTGTAAGTTAATGTCATTTAATGCTCATCCTCCCTTCAGTTCCTACAGAATAAATAATATTTGCAATCTGTAGAGAGGAATTTCTTTTCTCTCCTTTCTTTACCTAACAGGGAATTATAAGAAATGAAAAAAGAAGATTGGAAATATGGTTTATAATTCTTAAATTATATGTAAATATGTACCTATTAGTAGGATATACTGTCTATAGGGAAGAGTGACAGACATGACATGTATCAAATATGCTATAAATATGATTCTAATAAAATCTATGAAACTTATTCTAGTAGCTTTCATCAAGTTACTTCTTTTTCAGTAGACAATGAAGTGAAATAATTTTGATGCTTGTTATTAGTCTGAGAAGAATATTCACTTCACTATTTACGAAATTCTGACTCATTTCTTCCCACCGATGTATATTTATACTTAATTTTAACAGACGACAAAAATCTTCCTTTACAGATTAAAGGCATATGCTATACAGATAACGCTCCATACAGACAGAGCTGCACTGGGATAACATGAGCAGCCTTATATAAATGCTGGGTGTGCAGTATTTGACCAGACTACCAATCTATAAGGTGTGCTGTATTCCCATGACCCTTCCGATCCCTCAGGCTTCAAGGAAAACAAATTCTGCAATACCGCTCTGGTCCCGCCGTGCTGAGCTCCGGGCTGGATCGGCTGCCCAGGTCACCACCTTATGCCCTGGGGCCTGAGGTGCAAACGTGTACAGACTGTCACTTACACTAATGCTAGAAAACAAATTAACTGGTACTTTCAAATTACCTGTGAATCATTCATCTGGACCRCCCCTTTCGGCAGTTATTATCATAGATTGATTATATGCTCCATAAAGACGCAAATCCTTTTGTTTGTGCGGAATTTACTGACTACTATTGAACATGCCTCTGCTCTCACAACAGCRGAGAAGGCAAACGAGGGGTCAGATTAGTTTTCATTATTATCAAAAACCAGCCCCTTTTTAACTCCTCACAGAAACAGGTTAGGCAATGTTCCTATTTCTCTTTTTTCTCTGTTTTTCTACCCCTTTAAGTCTCTGCTTTTCCCGGATTAGCTTGAATGCCCCAAATTAACACGTCCCCAGCTGCGAAGACATTCTTTCTTTTTTTAACTTAACAATTCATTTTACATGACATAAAGAATACTTTGCTTCAGCACAAACACACCTCAGTGGAAATTTCACAACCTTGTTGGCTTAAGGTCTGTTTCCACCGAAGCAAATGAGGAAATGGCAGTTTCACAAAGGTCAGAATTAAAGACCTCAGTTCTCTGTCATTTCATTTCATGAGCTYCCCAGTTTGGAAATATATGACATTAGCAAATACCAGTATTTTGTTGGCATTTTCTATTGTAAATGTTAAAAACAATGAACATTGTTGTTTGACCTCATGAGTCTCAGAATTCCTCAATGTAAACTGCCTGGGTGAAGTGCAATTTAAATTATTAATATAAATGTGTATTTTTAATGATTACATAGAAATCGTTTTGCAAGTCTGTAAAACTAATTTGACAATTCATGCCACTGTAAGCACAGATTAAAATGTTAAATGATTTAAATTATAATTTTAAAAGGCTGCTGTTGAGCATATATTGCACTTGAATTTTGGGAAATTTCTATTGGAAAACACAAAATACGAGAACTTATCTATGAACATAAGTAGGCAAGTACACATTTCAAATTTCATAATTTCGTTCATTTTTTTTGCTAAAGTCTCTACCAGCAAAAAAACCTATGAAACAGCAGAACAATTGTTAATATTACCCCATTCACCTTAGATTTCAATACAATCATACAGTCACGCTGACATTTTGTATTCTTTTATATTATATTCCTTTATATTATATTCCTTTATATAAATTTTAAAAACAGCTAGAACACCATGTCTCCGATCCCTTTATGTAGGAAATTGAAAAAGTTTTGAAAAAACATAAATCTATCCCGACATAGCAGTGAACTTCAACCAAGTAACGGAGTCGGGCAGACACTCTGTAGTTGGTGTTTTGACACTCAGAAAGCAGCAGAGTTTGCAAATGCCATCTGAACAGGTGTGCTTTCCAATTTGTGTTTCATGATGAAGAAATGAGTAAAGTATAACTTGTATTCTCACTCCAAAAGAAGACTCAAAGCTTGCAATTTCCTTAGAAAGAAATCTAAGAATTTAACTCTAAAACTCTATTACTAAATTTGCATCCTAATTGTTTTAAAATAAGCAAATAGTGGCTTTTAAAACAGAAATATATTACACTACAGAAGAGTTAGCTAAGCAAAGGACTAGTCATAATAAAGTAAAAACACACTCATTTCATTATGAAATAACATTTTCAAAGTATACTCRAAAGTCAGTATTGTATAATGAACTACCATCAAGAAAAAAGCAAGTCATTATTCTATTTCACAGAAACATTTCTGTATAAACAGTGTTTCTTCTTTCTCCTTTGCTGTCTTTCCAGGAAAAACAAAACAAACAAACAAAAACGAACCAACCAGTCAACCCCAGAACTGTCACAGGCTTGCTAGCTAATAAAATCACTACTACCTAATAGATTCATGCTGGCTTTTTGTTTAAAAATGTACACAAACAACCAAAAAAGGCATTATAATGCCCTAAACTATTCTTCCAAAAGATTACATTCTCTTCACTCAGTCCAATTATACTTAATAAGATGCTGTGTTCTATTTTTCATGTAGTGCTGCTGAATGCATTTATGACAGTTTAATTTTACATTTCACATTAGCGAAGATTATCATTTAGGCATTTATATAACTGAGTTACCAAGTCAAACTTTCATTCTGGTTAAATATAACAAGCAATTCTTTGATGTCTTCAATAAAAATAAAATAGTGGATTTTAAATCTATGGATACCTAATTTTAGAAAATAAATAATATTTCTGAATGATGGTCCCATCATCCCAACTTCTTACTGAAGTTAGAAGTTCATCTGTTTTAAAAACTGTATTTGTATGCACTGTATTGCATTCACTATGTCTTTTAAAATAAAGCTTATGGATCAAATGCTTAGCTCAATTCATCACTTAAAAACTGAAGTGGTGACATTTTTACCATTTTCATCCTGCCCGCTAGCCTCTGGTGTGCCTTGTCTCTGGTCCTCCTCGGGTGCTTCAGGGTAAATAACAGCTGTATCCTCTTGCTGAAGGAATTCTTCGACGTTAGGGTCATGGTTTTGTTCATTTTCTGCATCAGAGTCACATTCATCTTCTTTTACTAAGAGCACAAAACAAGATAGAAGGCATTGAGTGAAACCTTTAAAATGTAATATATAAATAATCTACAGTGATCTGATTGCAGAAGATCCTCTATGAAAACCCTTCACAAATCCCAACATGGTGTTCCGAAGGTCAAGCCTTTTCAGCTGCAAAAATGCGACCAGTTTTTAAACAGAGATCCCACGGCGTAATGAGATTACAGCAAGTCACTAAAATTATAGCTTGCCTCTTCAACTAACTGCATTTATATCATTTTAGATATTCTGTTCCCCTCAACTTCCCCACAAATCTCCAGCAGAACATTAATCATGATTCAGTCCTTGCATTTTGAAGGACAGCTTACAGCTTCAGCTCCTTTAGCTGCTATATTTTTAAGGGCGAGCCTTTTTCCTTCAAGACACGTTTTTTAATGTTACTTAAGACTTGCTCATTACTTCAAACCCAAAGGACACATTTGAATTTTGTCTAACAAGTTTGCTGGTGGAAATGGAGCCAGCCTAAACTTTGAGTAGCTTGCTCTCCGTGGCTGGAAATKTATATCATAAAGGTTGCTTCAGACTGGCTTAACATTCTTCAAAATCTTAAATATTAAAACATTAAGAAAATCAACATTCTCCTAAACAGTGTTTCAATAAGAAGTTAAATATCTTGCTTAATGTTTCACCATAACCAAGATATACTTGCAAGTATTTGCTTAAATGCATTTTTCATAGAGTTTACTTTTTATTAGCGTGAAATGTTCCGAGCGGGCTGGGTCTCTGGCACACCAGCTCRTGACAGATTTCCCTTCCTATTAATAATGTGAAGTATATTTTCAATGTGAAGGGGGAAGCCCTACCACTCATTTCAGTGTGRAGCCTCATACTCAATTTGCAATTTGACACGACGGGGTGTTGGATTCTTTTCCTGACATGAGGCAGTCCTTCCCATACAGACTACAGTGTGCAACACACGCTGTATTTCTTTGTCCTCTTTTCTAGATACCTCACTTTATAGCATCTAGAAAGAATTTGATAGTCTACAGTTGTAAATATACCTACCTACATTTAAAAAAATTGGGTTTACTCACAGAATATCTAATTATGTAATGTTAAGGAGATTTTAAAAAGTAATGAATAAAATCTTTTAAAACAGCTGTAGGCAAGTCTTTAAGATATATGATAAACATGTTGTCAACATTATCAAGAGAAACATAACAAAACAGCAATGCATCTGTTTTGGTCTGATCTGAAACTGATGATAAACATTTTATTTTACCTTCCACCTACTATSAGTAAAAATACAGGTGGTGAAAATAAGACACAGGATTAACTCAAGCTCATTCTGGTGCATTCTTGGAGTAGTTTAAGACATTCTCCGTTGATCTGCAGGGATTTTCTACCTAACTCTGCACAAGGCCAGTGATGCAGCTGCTTCTGCCCGTGTTCCTAAGGCGCTATCAGACAAGGTGCTGCAGATGAACAAACAAGTACCTGTACATCCAACTTCATCTGTCTGAGCTTCAGGCCCCAGGATTTCCTTTGTTTCTTTCCCAGCTGAAATATAAAATACCAGGAAAATAAGAACAAATGTTAAAAAAGAAAAACCAGCCTATCACATCTGAGGCAGTGTCTTTCGAGAACTTGTTTCCTGCTTGGAACTCGAAGGACAACCTTGCACAAATACAGATTCCTCATTGCTGCAGCAAGGATGTACAAGGATGTCCACAGTTCAACAACATTTTAAGGAAGCAACAGTAAACACTGCTATTTGAAGACGGGCAAAAAACACCTGTCACACGTTCAAATTTTGTAGTCTGCTTTCCCAGCAAATATAAAGTGAGCTACCTAAAAACATTCTATCCACAAGTGCAGCTACCTCATACTTCAGAACATTACTGCCAGAATCAAGAGTACCCTAAGATTAGTACCTTTGTTTTTGCAATTAGTACTTTTGGGAAATGAGTGATAATTTGCTGGCACTGTCTGCAAGCAGTGGTTTCTCTAGAAACCACTTACAGACCGTGGTGGTTTAAATGAGCGAGCACTGACACTAAGCACCCGCTCCCTACCCCAGGTCACCTGTGTGCTGGAGAAATGTTTCACAGGAGCACCTAGGGGCTGCAGCAGCACGGGTGGATTTGCAGGCTCTTCTCAGCCTTGCTCAGGAGCCTGCAGAGCCCAGCAGCGAGGTTGGGCTGGCTCCGAAAAGCACCGGGGAGCTGCCCAACGGGAGAGCCAGGCAGGGCACGCGCCGGGCTCACCTCCTGCAGGCCACGGGCTCCACGCTGCGACACCTGCCCGAAGCCTCGCAGCCTGGGCCAACAGCAAAGGGCAAACTGGTACTGGGAGCCTCTGCTGGCATTTGGACAGGAACCGGCTTCAGGCAGCCGAGCACAGGAAAGCTCTGGCAGCAATTTCACACTCTGCTAGAATTGTGGAGAATGCCGCTTTTTGACTCCTTTACGACTTGTACACCGTGTCAGGGCACGTGCCTGCATTAATGGCCAACAGCTCGGAGTCGCTGGAAATGAGAGCTTTGTTTCACGGTTTCATTTTGAGACTTCCGAGGCTCCCGGGCCACACTGCCGAAGAGCCGCAGGTGATAAAGGACGCCGGAATGCACTCGGGGCTCATGCGAAAAGACAGTCCGTATATTTTTATATACCTTACTTCACAGTATTTCAGTACACTGCCACAGCCATAAAAGAACAATTGATGGAAAAATCATTTGGCAGGGCTATTCGAAAGCCCAATCTGCCAACTTTTTACTTACAGGAGAGAAAAATTTCTCCTTAGCAAGAAAGATGATAAATTTTAGGACTACTTTAAGKTCATAGTTAAAAATGTCTTCCTCAAAGGAAAAGACTGTTAATTCATCTACCCTGATAAAATCCAACAGACCCCCAAAGGTGTGGAAGCTATTTCTGCAGAAGCAACCATAAACAGGAAATACGCTTAAAAGCATATTGTAATATTTAAGTCTTACTTGAATTTTAATTAAAGAGATTTCTTGATCTCAGATGGAGTCATCATAAACTCTCTGTTTTGTACTTGCTCYTTCTACTACCCACATGTTGTAAGACATGTAAATCAGAGCCATGCAGCCATACAGAAACTAAATGGGCACCAAGCAAGGCCTCTCTTCGAGGACGAGTGCCTGAACCTTCACCAACTAATTCCTGAGCTGCAGTACGGCTCAAATCTGCCTTTTTCTGCATCTAATCATCACTTATCAACAGCGGCTTAGAGATAAGGCGGGACCCTAGGGTCAAATGCTCAGAATTTTCAGGTGACAGTGTAATAAGAGTGAAAACGAGTGACACTACTCCTGTGTCATTGGCTGACTGTAGAGATCTATGCATCGATAAGGTATCTGATCAAATTTAAACCACTAGCAAAATGGAAATTTTGGTTGAAGGCAGGAAAATAAACATTACCAACAGTTCTGCCACAACGCTATCTTCAGAGGTGGGGAGAAATGCCAAAGCCCATCAAGAGTTTCTAATTCAAACTCTTCGGAGCTCATTTTCCCACACAGAACTTGCATGTCCCGAGTGCTCCCTGCTGCTGTGCATGGCTATCTGCTCCATCAGTAAGAACTTGACCAAGAAGTTGCCAACTTTTTTAGCCTTTCTAGGCACCCCTGCCCCAAAATAATGAGAGTTTCTCCTGCATGGGAGTGCGGGAACCCTCCTCAGCACCACGGGTACCAAGGGAACTCACTGCAGCTGCAGCAGCCAGGCTCAGCCTACGACTTCACGACTTACAGGAATTCTTGAACTCCAAAAGGAGCTTACACTAAAATATAACTTCATCACCTTTTAAAGGTTACTACAGTTCTGGACATTTTTTTCTGAATTTTCAGCTTTTCAATACTACTTTAGCTCAAGGTCTAAAACCTCTCATTTTCCTAAAAAAATACAATACGTGAATAATAATTTTGCAAGTATATTAATATAAGAAGTCAATAGGGTTTTAGCTTCTGCTTCTTTAACTGCAGCAGAGGCTTTAGTTTAAACAGACTGAAGAGGTAAAAGAGGATATTATAGCATGATCACACGCATGAATGTTGGCACACGGCCAGGAGCTGTGCAGGATACACGTGCTCCACTTCTTCAAACTTGCAGGGCTGTTTCAGTTAAACCTCCTGAGATACTCACCTTATATTTTAAACACCTGTTCGGAAGGTCTTTTAGAAATTCAGTTAGAATGACTGGAAACGGAAGGAAACCAATCTGATAAAGAAATTTTACGTATGCTTCTATTCTTGTGCTTTTCTGAGCAGAATAAGCAYGTGAAAAGCCCACTGTCTAGTCCTGCTAAAACCAGTAACTTTCAGTATTACTTTCGTCATGAAACAGAGCTTATTAAAATTATTGTAGTACATGTTTTCTATAATTAAATTACTAAATAACACCCACCTTTGAAGAGGGCAGTAATGCTGCACAGGCATCTGCCCCACTTTCTTTCCCTTTAAAACACACAAACACCTTTTTTTTAAGATTTCTACTGCAGGACCAGGGCTGATGATATGGTATTAGGCTAACACCTTCCCTTCTGTTCAAACAGGTGAACAGAACTTTGAAATACCAAATCAGCACGTCGTGAAGCCCAATTTAGCCCTTAAAAGAATCTCATGCAGTCACTGCCAGATATTGAAACATTTTCTAAAAGTTGCTGTCAAATAAAAAAAAAGTCTGGACTGCTACAAAAATAAATTTCATAATAAACAGAATTCTTACATCTGAAATTATGCTATTTTTAAGAAGTGTGTATAATAATTGTTTAAATCTTTTGTCTGACCAAACACTGGCAGCAGCCTGTCATAATAAACATTGATTGAGGGACAGAAAAGCATCTGGTAATCCAGGGTTTAATGGTATGGATTATAATGGGCATGTGACAAGAAATGATCACATAACGTCCTATAAGTTTATATATTTGGTCATATATACAGAGAATAAGCTTAAGAGTCAGGTCCCCTGAGTGCTGACAGAACTTTCACAAAATAAAAGGCTGATAATCTACCATTCTTTCTCGGAATAAGGTTTCCCGATGCTCTCAACAGAATTAAAAGTAGAATTTACTTCAAATGCATCACTCCAGCAAACAGGTTTAAAAAGGTTAAAACGATATATTTGAAATAAGGARTCCAAAACTATGCCACTACAGGTTTGGCATTTCAAAAAACTCTAAAGAGGTGTCTCAGGCAGGTGCTGTGGTGTGAGGAGCTGTGGGAATGTGTCCACAAAATGTTTAGGCTAGACCTGTATTGCAGAGGTCTTGACCCAGCACCTCTGATACCCACTGCTGCATCCAGGTAAGTACCTCAGACTCCCCAAGCCCCTGTCTGGGCRGTTCAAGAAACAACCTATGCTCAACAAATTTTTATGTATCTGTAACTCCCAATACATACTCTGTAGTTGCACAATGATTTTTAGGTGACCTAGGAAAATTACCTACCTAGGCAGTGATTTAGTTCCAAGGTTCATTTTACTGCACAGTGGAGCTTGGCAGTAGCAGGGACATAAAACGCGGCTGACTTGGAGCTATTCTTTGAACTCTCCGCTGCTGTCCCTCGGTGGGACTGTAGTTATTGAGCATAGCAGGGCTTTAGTTCAGTTTGATGTGCAGGCATGCAATTTGTCTTAAATCACCAGTTTTAACAAGGTGGATGGTAACRAACTGTGGTTCGAGTTCAGACGCAAACAGGGACATACCTGAAAACATTCTGTTTTGTTCACAGGAYAAAGACTTTCTGTAAATTTATACATTTACCCCAATTTAGCTGAAATGTAAGCACGCTGTGTGATATTATTAAACTTACCATCAGAACTCATTGAAAAATGGCCCATTTCCTGATTGCTTTAAATTTACTGCCTGTAAGGCTGCCGTGTGAGGTGCACAACATTTGCCTTTCCTCCACTGCTTTCAAAATAGAGATTCGTTAAGAATGAGATACCCAATTCTAAAACTAATAATCTCAAAATTTAATAAAGATGAATGATGTTTTCTATCTCAAATAGCATGATTATGTTCTTCAATGTTTTTTTTCCGTCATCTCTACTGTCTTAATCCTTTATCTTTTTCTGGCGTTATTTCCTTTATTCTGGCCTTGTTTGGCAAGTGAAAGAGCAGAGACAGCCACCAAGTAGAACATTCCATCTAAGCACTATCATTTTTTTTTGTTTTGCTTTATTGCTTACTCCTCAGGATTTACCTGAATCTTTATGGAGACTTGCCACRGAACAGACATGGAAAAACTAAAGGAAGGTAACTATTATCTGATCACACTTGAGAATGCTGTAKCCATAGATTTGGATGACTTGATTAACACTAGAAATGGAATGAATGCAGCTTGGAATCTGTYTCAAATATTAAATAAGGAACTTATAACAAATATTCTAGAAAATGTGACCTCTTACTTGGCTGTGACTACTAGATGCTTATTGCTATGATTCATTTTAGCGAGCAAAAACCATCTATTTAATCTTTCCTTTTGAGGAAAACATATAAAAACAAARTATACAGGAAAAATATATAATGTTATCAGTGAAAATGAACACACCTTCATCTTCCCAGCAACTGTTTGTACTCCCGTCTCTTTCACTGTTTTCTGGTAATACTGCATGGTCTGTTGGCAAGTCATCTTCTGGCACGCTGGCATCRCAGTCTGCCGCATCAGTCACACTTTCTTCTTCCACTATATGCAATTTATCTTCATCATCTGAATCTGAGTTGGCTTCTACCACGTTATTGTAATTGGTAACTGTGGAGAGACAAAAGGCAAAATGCAGATCAATACACAGAGAATCATAGAATCACAGCATGGTTGAGGTTGGAAGGGAGCTCTAGAGATCATCTAGTCCAACCCCCTGCTCCAGCAGGGACACCCAGAGCACAGGGCGGCATCCAGGCAGGTTTGRAAGACCTCCTATACTACCAGTTCAGAGCTGGGAGGTTCATGTTCTTCAGGACTCCGGCCAGATGCTCTATCTGAGGCATCTCTGGAGCCCCATGATTATTTCTTCTTCCCATGAGGGCATGGAATGGGAATATTACAGACGGCATGATAGTCTAGGAAATACTTGACATAATGCCAACAGGTACTTCTGTCATGTAAGAATAGATTCTTACTAAAACAAGCTTAATTTGTAAGCACAAAAAAATCAATTAAAACTGTTTCAAACTGCAAGCATTATATATTAAAAAAAATTATCACAACTCACTGAAATGTCTTCTTATTGAGACTGAAGTTAACTTAAAGAAACTATTAAAGATTTACATAAGATCTATAAGTGTATTATACTTATTCACATCAAATTTGAATAACTTATCAAAATCCTTCAAAATACAGTTTAAGATAATGAACTAAAAAGACTTGTCTCGACTGCACTACTCCTTCAGTAGTTACAAGCGCTCATAAGAATCCTATCTGTGACGCACACAACCACATTACTTTATGACATTTTCATACTGTTACTATTAGCACATCAGAAGATAAATTGATTCTTTCATGTAAAATCCTGCCTATTAAGATAGATAAATAGGAAACTGTATTTCCGTTCTTCTGAAGTCAGCTGCTTCTTTTTTTCTTTTTTTAAGTAGGTATTCGAATCATTTCAAAAATGCATTTAAAGAGGGAAAGTGAGTAACATTATGAATTGGCAAGCTACTCATTTCCTCCCAATTCAAGAGAAAAATGTCCCATGTAAAATATGCATAAGCATGACAAAAGACCCTTCTGAATTCAAAATGATCACTCCATGTTTCTGTATTTTATATACACACAGTGCTATTTCAGAAATGTAGTATGACCCACTATTCACGGAAACAACCTTTTCTAGGACAAGAAAATTTAAGASGTTTGTGTAAATATGAGTATTTGGTCCAGTTCAATCAAAAAAGCAAYAGTCACTTAATATTCCATAACAAAATTTGCTAAGTAGAATAGTTCCTGTGAGGGCTGCTGTAACTGYGGGCAAAAGGCAGCGTTAACGCCGGGGCGTGCAGGCCTTCCCTCCCCCGCGCCCCCGCGAGAAGCAGCTATTGAATTTATTTGCCAAAAAACATTTTTCTTTTAACGTACATTCACAGTTTAGAGGCACAAAATAGGAGGAAATAGACTACTGTTGTCTTCAGCAGGTTTTAGTGTGCTCGGCTGAGGGGGAACACTTGAGTAAAACACGAGCACGGCCCCCTCAGCCACATGCAGGAGCTCACTACGAGCAGGGGTCAAAATCCAACCACAGTACATATATGCACTTTAAATACATATTTATAGCTTTGATTTCAGTTGCTTAAATAATAAATGTTGTTTTATATAAACTGCTGTCTGTTTAGATTGTGTAATTAAGTGGAATCCCTGATATTAAAGTGTCTCATATGGGAAATGCAATAAATAAATAGCGTCTGTCTTGAAGATTTACAGAGAAAACTCTTAATGTATTTTTTCTTCATGTTTTTCTTCATGTAGTTTTTCCCCTYAAAATACAACCTACTCATGATAATTGCTACCTTGAAGTATTTTCATACGTTTTTACCACACTCCCAGGCTGATTAAGTGTAAACTTAAGAACTCATCCTAGAGTAAGATCCATAAAAAGCCAGAAAAAAAAGATCTTTGGGACTTAACTTCTTCCGACTGAAGACCAGTTGTCAAGAAGGCAACAACATGTGGAAATAAGTTTAGTTTTAACTTTTTTTTTTTTTTTTTTTTTTTTTTTTTTTTTCTTTTTGAGATACAGAGCTTTGGGTTATCTGGGGGAGATAAACTGCAAACCCTGCATCAGAAAGGGTTCAGAACATTAAGGATGAGAAGGCAGCAACAAACTCAGGAGAAAGCTGAGCTGTTAAAACTGGAGGAACATTAATAAGCCCCTATACTACCCTAGCTAAATAATTAGGCTGTTTTTCCTCTGAGGGAGCCTTGCCTCGTTCAGTGCAGTGATAGCTGAAGAGCAGCGAATACGAGTTTTATGGAGTGAACAAATGGGTTTGTCGGATCCTGCGCCGTTTTTATAGATTACGAAGCTCTTAAGCATCCCTTCATATGCTCAGCAGCCAGCAGTGCTCCCAAAGCCTCCACTACAGGGTGTTGGCCAAAACCAGACCCCTCAATACGTGCTCTACGTTTCCCTATTTGGTGTTGGACTTGAGTACTTCAAACCGTTCAGTGACCTGCAGCCAGGTGAGGGCATTGCCATTTTACGAAGAGCAAACCGGCTACTTCAAAGATTAAGGATTTTTCTGGCAATTTTGGCATGACCCTCAGCGAAGGTGGGGAGGGCTTGACTTTTCAGAGGCCTCGGTATTTTTATAGCGTTTTGTATATTCAAAGCACACTTGTGTTCCTTCCAAACGCAGCTGTGCTCAGAGCTCAGGTATCTCAGCTTGCAGGCCACAGCAGCTAGCAACACACAGAGCACAGTGAGAGACCTTCCAGAATCACATAAAAGCTCTGTGCAAAAGGCAGAATAAAACCCAGTTTTTCCGTGGTGCTTTGAACATGCCTTGGAGTGCGGGGCTTTGATTCCCGCAGGCCTCTGCATAAATAACTCCCCTTCCCAGCAAGAAAGGCAAGGGTTCTGCAGGCAATGGCTTCCCGTAATAAACATTCCCGATTCCTCCTCTGGGCAGCATTCAGCCCATTAAAAATGATGTGATCACATAATTAAAGAGCTTATCTTCATGTGTACTTACAGGGGACAACTTCAATCTTAATTCTGACTTTTTTCCAACTTTCTCTGAGGACCCAACTTTCCATCTCCAGTGTCTGATTTCCAAGAGTATTCTGAAGTTCCTTAATGGAGATGATGGTTAAAAACAATCGACTCCTGCCATTTACTATACTTTTAGCTAACTAAAATCCTGCTACTTGACACATTGAAGTTACATGGGAAATGGGCATCCTGCWTTCCCTAGCAGGGTCTCTTGCCTCTACACTTCCCTCTCTTCCTGTTCAGTCTTATCCCCAAATTTAGGCCTGCCCTATCTGCACTCCATTACGGGTRTCTCTTCCTTTTGTCCCCTACGTTGCACAGATGCCACTAAGAGAAGAGGACAACAACCTCAGGTGAGCCCTTTTAAGGGCTGGGAGAGGTACCTATTAATTAAACCTGCCCTGGAAGGAGGTTGGAGGGTGCTCAGCACAAAAGCAGTATTTAGGGACAGCTTACAACCACCCTAACAAGCTCAACTGAGTATCAATGATGATTTCAAGAGGTTTCTAATTGAGCCAAATGTTCCACACACAAAATAAAGTGCAGACCCCAGAGGAAACCCTCGCTCGGAGCAGTAACAGCTTCTCAACGACACAACTACAAGCGCTGGAGCAGCAAGCTCCAGCTAACGCTCTCTGGAAGCCGTGGTGGCCCGAGCAAAATCATCCAGCCCCAACTGCAGGAGGCCCCGAGCACGAGGAGCAGCAGTGACTGAGGGGAGGCGCCGCTCCAAGGGCGGCTCCCCACGCGCCACGGGAAATAACAAATAAACAGAATACAAAAAGTACATTTTATGGGCTATAAATGGATTTTTTGTTGCTGATCACTTTCTTGCTACAGTACCTGACACTTTACCAACTCGCATCTGTAGTGGCAGCTTAGGTTGCTCTTGGAGCAACTGCCAAAAAGAGGGCGGGAAATGCCCTTTGCTTTTTCACTCTCACAGTCTTGGATGCAGGAAAGATGGACGATGCTGCAAAATTCCAATTAAAGAAGAAATACATTCCAAAGAAATATTGATTAAGGTGCTAAGGAGGAAAATGTATTATTTTCCTCCTTAGGAAAATAATATAGGCTGAAGCCTTCAGGCTGAAGACTGCTACAAAACCAAAATGCATTTGTTTAGTCAAATGAAAAGTTCATGCTCTGGTCCATAAGCCGTGGTTTGGAAAAGCTCCTGAGAGAGGCGGCTGCAGGTACCYGCTCAGCACTCGCCCCCGATCCTCAGGAGTCCATGAGCTACCGGCCCCGTGGCCTTGGCCAGCAGGAAGAAGGACCCAGTCGCGCCCCAGCTCTGCCAGGACCTCCCTCATGGCCACGAGCGGCAGAGCAGGCGGCGCCGGCAACGACCTGGGATGGCACCGACTCGCACAGAGCGAAACCAGATCCTTGACCTGCTTCTCCCTGGGATCTAGGAGAACACAGAGAGAAGGAGCACTCTGAACCTCATCTGCTACGTTTATTTTTTACGCACTTCCCTGAAGTCACTGTTTTGTTATGCAGAATCTGATCAAATATTCCTACTATCTGCCTCTTTTCTGCCACTCCATGCTAATCCAAAATCCCATCTACTTGCATAGTTTTAAGATAAGTTTTCCAGAATTTGAGAGATAACACAACCCCCCTACAATTTTTGAAGAGYTGGATACACGTAACCACCACATTTGAGTTGTCCCAACACTGGAACGAATGGAGATTACTAACAGGACAAAAGAGGGGCGCACAATTGTGACCTTTTATAAATTTCTACTTCTAGAAGTGCTTTCAAGTTTTAATAAGATATCTTCAAGACTCAGGTACCTCAACAGAGATACTGCTTAGTGCAAGCTTCGCTTAGTGAAAATATTCACTGTTTCCCAACCCTATACTCGCAAGGCTGCACTGGCAGGGCACAGGGCACTGCACAGAGGGAAGGCAACAGGCACCAGCACATCAGGCAGCTTGGAAACTCCATAAAAACAGACTTCACTGCGATCTAGGTATGTAGAAAGTGTGAAGAAACTGTATTATTCTGTCAATTACATCAATCAAGAAAAAAACATATCTACCAGAGATTAGTCTCTGACATAATACTTGCTAAATTCAATTTAAAAACATACCTGTGATTTTCAGAAAAATGGTTCTGTTTTTGTGCAATAATTGTGTGCAGAAGAAAAACGTACTTTTCAGAGAAATAGGGAAGTACAAAGAAAGGCTGAGTCAGCTTATATATGTATATACACATATAAAACATACATATAAATATATATATAAAAATCTCCTCTCAATACTTATATGCTAGATTATTTGGTCTCCAGGTCAATTCAAAGAAACTTAAGAGTTAAGAAAAAAACCACTCTGCAACTAGACTGCACACTAAACTGTGCTCTAAATGCTATACTGAAAATTGGACAGAATTGGCTATGCTTATGCAACACACATTAAAATCAATGGTTTAAACACCTGACAATTTTCTGCTTGTCGATTTTAAATTGTGATTTTCAAGTCAATGAATAYTTGACGCTCAAAGCAGAGCGATTCGGAGTATGGAATTTTTCTATCAATATGGCAAAAACTGGACCAAAGCCTGATGATYTAAGTCACAAGCAGCTCCTCCAAGCTATGCTAATGGCCAGAGCTCTGGCAGGAAGCTCTGTGATGACATAAGCTAAACTTAGCTTATTTGGCAAATACTCCAGCCCAATCCCACGCTATCGCCTTTGTTCAGCTGGTCATTAGTTCAATTCAGGGTTAACTTAATTATTCTGGAATGGGACAGTTTGGTACTTTACTACTTAGAAACCCTGAAGCAGATGTAGCTCTAGGCTTCTCGGTGGGACAACAAGAGAATTTCTGCCCCCAAGGTGAATGAAAACTGGTGTCTAGCAAGTCACCTACTTTGGCAAGAGCAGTCGGAGAATCTCTGCYTCTTTAGCTGCTCCTGGCACCCATCTGCCTTGGTCAACTACATATTGTGGTAACTATGATGAATTCTGAGCAGAAGAACATACATATTCCTTCTATCCCTCCTAGACTACTCTAGCTRCACACCACAGCCACCAAATGTTACTTTTGCATTATTGCTGGGCTGCAAATGTCCAGAAAAGGATGCTAAAACAAACYGAATCCCACTGCTGATAAAGGATTYGTATCTCCCTGGTCCCGATGGTAAGGATGAGGTTGTATCTGTATCTGTGGGTGGAAACAGAAACAGAAATATGAAGAAGCTGTTGACACTTAACACACTCTTGGTGTTTCAGAGGGTCTCTTAATTAGAACTAGCTCTGGTCTGGTCTTGTGGGCTAAATTTTCATTACTGGCTGGAACAGCTGGAGTGCTCCCAAGGTTATTTTCTCATTTAGATTAAACAGAGGACACGCTCCCTAATGAATCAAAGAACAGTGAGGACTATCAAGAGATTCACTTCAAAAGTCCACTACTGATCTGAATTAAGATACGAAGGATGTGTATCTCCAGCCAAACATTCCTGTAGGAGACACATAGTTCTTCAGTGTCTGAAGGACAAAAAATTTTCACCATCTATTCCATGGAAGAATTAAATGCAACTGGCACCAGAATCTCTCCCTGAAAAGGAGAAGAGACATCTACCCCAGTTCCCCACTACTGCAAGCAACCAGGTCATAGAGAGCCTTTTCCTATTCACTTCTGAAGGTATCAAGCAAATTACTGACTGACTCCCGAGTGTTAGATACTAACAGGCAATTGAAAGGCTTGTATTTCTAGATATTAGATAGTGCTGAAAGCCCGAACTAGTAACCACCATATGTTAGAGACAAAACTGGATACTGAATCCTGTTCTCCTCAAAAATAAGCTAGATTTATATTGCTAGCAAACACTGCAGTGGCAGCACAGCCAAAGCTGGAGAGGAAGCTCTGGAGATGGCAGGCGTGATGCAGAAGACACACATGCGAGCGAGCATCCAAATCGCTGGGTGCTCCAGCGCGGGGCTGAGCACGAGCGCACGGCCGGGCAGTGCCAGCACGGACAGCAGCTCCCACAACCACTGCGCAYGGCTCAGTAAAAGAAGGGGTGACACCACTGCCTCCCTTCACACTTATTCGTGAGTGAAAACCTTTCTTCTTACACTCTCTTGAATCTTTGACACCCGAGTCTTAAGATCATAYGCTTGGTTCTCCTGCGCAGTGCTGATCGGCATCAACTTTGAATAATACCAAGTATCATCGAGCAAAACGGTCCGCTCAGGGCAACTGGCTACGTTAAAATAGCCTGTGAGGCTGCAGATGAGAGGCTGAGGAAGGGGAGATTGGTTTCACCTTGGGAAGGAGGGAATTACCAACACGGCGAAGGCAGAGCTCCAACAAGGACCTCTCTGAAGGTGTCCAGGGTCCTGGGGTGGCCCACACACTTACACGGGTCTGAACTGCGTGTCCAGGAAATGGACACTGTACACAAACACCTATTTTCCTATATGGATTTAGGTGGGATACCTAAACTTAGATTGTGAAATGGATATATATCATTATATTAATTATAATTATTTATATTTTTTWAAAAAATGGGTTGCCCTTTGTTACTCTTCCAAAGTAGCTCTACTAAGAAATATAATTTTATACCTGCTGCTTTCAGAATTGTCTCTTCATTACTCTGGAGCTCTTTCCAGCTAAAAAAATGGGAATATTTTTAACTTTGCACAATGAAGACTTTCTGTCTTCTGGTGAGACAGAAAGACATGCAATACTAATTTCTCTACTGAATTTGTAAATGATGGCCCTTTTTGTAATGAAAAAGCTAACTATTGTTCAAACATTTTCCCCTCCTTGCCCCTGGATTCATGCAAATGCTACATGCAAATAAGAAAATTCCCTGTGGCAACATAATTTGAAAAAATGTATTATTACAAGGTGCTTTTAGGTTCGAAAATGTTAGAAGTGATCCCAACAGAAAAAAAATTAACACACAGAAACAAAACACCTCAAGGTGTGTGAGAAAATTAAATGCCTCTTTTGCCAGTTACCACCATTGTATAATCAAGGGTTATACAGGGCTCTCTACAAATATGAACTTACTTTTGTATGTATAACACCATGTCAACTCCTGCTGTCAACAAGCAGGACACGTAACAACGTATTTACAAGAACTTACGGTGAAGAGCGTTGTTTTTTCTGTCTTGCTTGCTTTGAAAAATCTACCATAAAATAACAGTGCCCAATAATTTCAGTGCTGCTTTAAGCTTTCAGCCATACCTGGCTTCATTTSTCCACCTCTCGGCTTCCCCGTTTTAAATGCTCTTCCTCGGGTTGCAGAGAAAGCAGAAAACTCTTGGCTCATTGTAGGTGACAACTGTGCACCAGGGAAGCTTTTACAAAGAYTCATATTTGTGAACACATGGGCACAAAATAAATAGCAAATACGAGGTGGTGGCATCCAGGTGACTTACAAGGCAGRAGCGCTTGACTAAACCTCCTGTTCTCTGACCATTATGCTCTTCCTTAAGAACATGCATAATTTCCCCATAACAATTTTCTAACATAAATATGAAATAGAGAAAATCCTGTTCTTTACGATTTTTTTTTTAAATCTGAATTTTCAAAGAATATACTGTAGGGAACAATTCTGAGCAGACAGCAGTGATTAATCACTCTCTGCTCCAAGTTAAAGAGGAAGAAAAGTAAAAATCTTTCCCTTATGCCCTATTTTATCCCAGGTAAGTTTGCCTTTTGATCACCAGTATTAGTTTTATAGTCTATCCTTTTATTCCAAAGGGAGCAAATCCAATCTTCACATTTGACTATCGTTCCTTGCAGCCAAGTACAGCCTGAGGTCGGCAATGTTTTACTACCTCGGAGGCAATTTTAGCGTGGTGATCATTAAAATTTAGCATGAGATGTATAAATACCTGACGAGGGTTCATTTTTTAAGTGCCTCCAGTTACTGAAAAACTGGAAACAATGATCTAAACGGAGGAGAGGCTGAGAGGAAGGACCATTTCCTTGACTTATATCCTCCGAGCGCCTGTTTTACTTTTTGTGATTCTCTTTCCAGTGGCAACGGATCCGCTCCGCGGTCTGCTCAGCAGAATCCTCTGGGTGACGACCATTCGTGATCTACATGCTCCCCATGCTTCACTTTTTTCCTTTATAAAACTCCTCACCTACAGAAGACGGTTAAATTAAAGAAGTATTTAAGAGGCAAATGTTACGAATCACTTTTCTCAAAGACTGACTTTTWAAAAAATAGATAATTTATTACTATAGCAAAAATAACTCCTGTACATAGCTAAATAYCATCACGTCTAAGATGAGCCACACAAACTGCCCAACTACCAACTGGGTATCTCACTTGGGAGACAGTGGCCAGTTCTGGGAATGTCTTTGATAGCAGAGAGGTGGAAATACTCACTGTATGAGCTACACAGGCATAAAGCACAAGCACCATATGTGATTCCAGCTTATTAAAAATTGGCCTTTGATTGCTATTCATTTAGGTAAAATTTATTCAGGTTAATTTTTCAGGGAAGATAAAGGTTAAAGGTTCACAGAAAACATACATTTGATACTAATGGTGATTTTATATCATATATTTCACCATTACCTAAGTTTATATGCAATAAACATTTGTGTCATAGGTAATAAAAAAATGCAATACGGGATTATAAGTCTGGCTCCTRAAGTTCCTGCAATTTAATTATTTTTTTAAGCATAAGGCAGACGAATGATACTGCATAGGCCACATCTCATCTATATGAACAGCCTATGATGGCAGCTCTCCCTTGCTCCAAAGCTACGCGACTGTCGTGAAGCGACACGAGGAAAGTTTAGCGCGGTGTTAACGCTGGAGAGAGAGCCCTGCAATGAATCCCACTTCCTCTGAAACTCTGACCTTCTTCTTCGGCCTCTCCCTCACTCCCAAATTATCAGAATGCCGAATCATGTACCGACTTCAAATAYCTGTTGCAGAACTAAATGTGTACCATTTTTTCTTAGCCTCTAGTACTCTYCACATGGAAAGAAAGTCAGGTTGTCACATGCACAACGGCCACTATCTGTTCAGGTCCATTTATATGCTCAAATATCCGAAGCAGGGCACAGGAGAAGAGATTTTTTAATTAAGTTGCCTTTCAAGATGACATATCGTGTTTTGTCTTTCACTCTGAATCCTGGCAATAAAAGAAGTGGKTTTTTTTTGTGTGTGTGTTCTAGAATTCGGTTTTCAATATACGGATCCTGATTGTTCGATTAAGGTAGCTAATTTGGACATATCATGTTAGTTTSAAGGGAAACTGTTACGTCAAACATTCCTACTGTACTTTACCTGAAAATAAAGGATATCAAGAGATATAGAATAGCAAAATGTATAAAAATATGGTTTCTGGATGTATTCTGAAAGATCTAGTTTTCTTAATAGAGCTTTACATTTATGAGCTTATTAAGCGTATTCATATATGACACGTGCATCTAAATTAGTTTCTAGCAGTGTTATGACAAGTTACAAGTCTCTCCGATTCTTAATTATCTACTACTGCCTTTTTACAATACTGTTTTTTCAATCACAGATCTTACACATTATTGACTTTCAATCCTTCTAAAATATTAAGTCACAGGCCATTTATATAACTTATTTGTGTGCAGGAGCAAATCACACCCTGCTGAAATTCAGCGTGTGCCTTGTTCATTGCACCACATAATGAACAGCTATCATTTCCAGAACCCTACTGCAGGGCAGGAGCACGAATAAAGAGACAGCTGAAAAATATGCAAAGGATTTACAGTATTTCACTGGATTCCAAGGGCAGACATTCCCTGGCATTCTATTTGAACAGGTGGATAAGTGAGATTATGAAAGGTCTCATTTATCCCATTTAAATGGAACGGGACGAAGCTTAAGTAACAGTTTAATACTCAACAGATGCATTCCATACGCAAAATAGACACTGCAAAAAGGAATACTGAAAACTATAAGTTACTGTAATTTTGCATTTTCAAATTAAGCTTGGTATTTTAATATAAATCAGAATGAAACATAACGTATAGTTCTCACATTATTCTAAGCACATAAACATATTTTTGCCATGCTTTGCTTCAAAACGTTGCAAATCTAACTCCACAACATATTTAATCAGGTTCTTATTTCTTCTTAGCAGAGCAGTAAACCAGGCTCTGATGCAGCAAACCAGGCTCTGATGGATACTTCAAAAGGCAAGTTTTTTTTAATGGCTTTTTAAAAACTGTAATCTGAATATATACTGCTGCATTCTTGTATACAGATTGTTCACATATATTTGCTGAATCTCTCTGCATAAGCAGTCATATTCACACTTCTGGACTTTGAAGTGAATATTTAAAACAGAGAGAACTAGACAATCTAGCTCTTCAGGCCACTGAAGACTGAAGCACAATCACTCAACTATCTATTAAAAATTTCATGTGCACAGTGAAAAGATTCTTCAAAATAAGCTCATTTTGCCAAAACGATAAGAAGACCTTGGGAACTTCCAGGACTGGGGAGCTGATGCTGTGATAGGGCAGCAGGGAGCTGCTCCCATCGGAGAGATGGGAAGGTCCAAASCAGCACTGGTAAAGTGCTGCAAGAGTGAAGAAGAAAATATTCAAAGGCCTTTTGTTAGAAGAAAAAAGGTGCACAAATGACACCAACACAAAGAAATAATAAATTTATGCACAAGTCACAAATGAAAAAATTTGCACACACTTTTTATTAGAGTAATATTTGGACAGTTTCTGTTCAGTTTCTGTACAGAGTGGGGTAACACCCCGAGAAAGCAGCACTGTTGCCTGTGAGGGATGATAACCTGTTTCTCAGATAAAAAGTCTTTGTAATTAAGGTAAAACCAGGCATAGCCAGAAACTGTGGGGCAGCCATAGCATGATGACACTGTATTATCTCTTTCTGAACTCTCAACATACATACTAGCAAATTCTACAGAGTAGAAAATTCACAGTTTTAAATGCAATTTARGTAATTGCAAGTTTTCATAATGCGCAGCAGTGGGACTGCACCCCAGGGGGCTTCGCTTGTGAGTGGGCAAGACATTTTCCTCAAAAAGCAGCTGGGTCTCCTGGACATCCTCTCCCACCACATCTTCCCAGAGGTTTCTATCCAACAGTTCCATGGATTACACAAAGTTCGATTTTCCCAAACTCAGCATATTAACTGCAGCTCGGCTTTTGAGACTTCCTTTGAATCAAAATATCTGTAAAGAAAAGATACTGGAAGATTTTAACTGTGATATTGGAATTTGTTGCACAGCAAATATGTCCCAAGACTTGCAAAGGGTGATGAATAACGGTATTCAACTCAGTCCAACACCTCTGAATTCTYAGTCTACATAAGGATAAAGTTAAATATTTTTTGACTTAAAGGAGCTTATCTGTTCCATTTGACATCAAAATTCATAAGTAAGGTGAATCAGGAGTGATAAGAAGAATCTAACAAAGGATCCACCAAGGTGTATCTGAAATAAAGAGACCAGATTCCTGCCCCCACCCAGTTCCCTTTCCCTTGAAAAAAAGGGAAATATCCAAACCTACATTTACTCATATAAAGCAGCTCATCTGTATTGCAGGCAGCCTTAAATTTAATTCTGCCACCCTTTTTGTAAAGGAATGGGAAAGATAGCAAGAAGGTAATACAGATAAGTTTGACTTCAGATGAATACTTGGGAGGCAGGTAAGAGATACCTGTTATGCCCAGATAGACAGACCTGCTTGCTAAAAGGCTCCTGCAGAAGCTGTTGAACACCAACAAACCAAGATATATATTGGTTACCAGTTTGAAGCTTAATAACCAATAGTTGTTGCTAGTCTATCAGATATTAAACATCTCTCGGCTTGCAGTCCTTTATCAGCTAAGGGAGAAAATGGAAGGAAAGGGAGCACTTGAAAGATGCCTGAAGCACTGCGCTGGGATCACATTTTTGGCACTTTAGATATATAAGAAACACGTTTYCCCATCTTTGATAAATTTTCCACCAAGAAACGCACAGTCATTTCTAAGCGTATTTCTGCTTCTCCTATAAAGAGCTGAGACAACTTTATGGTTACAAGACTCGTTAAGTGGGACCAGATGACAGCAGGCCCTAGAATGACTGTGGTCTTCCAAAATGATCGGGAGCAGGGAAGGGGCTAAGCCATCCACGGCCTCCTTTTGTGGGGGAATTCAGATTTCAGAAAGCCCCAGTGCTGTTTAGAGGAGGAGAAGTGTTCCAAGGATGGCTACACAGGCACAGGGCACGGAAATGAGCAGGGAGCAGGAGCCCCTGAGTGGGGGGGGCTTCTCCTATAGAGAAGCCACTGAGTGGAAGGGCAACAGGCCCACAAAAGACAAACTGCCAAAAAAAGGGGAAAAGAGGTGAGATGAGCAAGGCTGAAAACATGTGAAAACAACACTGTTGGGAAAGGCAGAGGCAAAGGGTAAAAGATCAGTTTRCACCATGCTAAGGATCATACAGGAAAGATTAACATCTACCAGTCATCCCAGCTCTCCTTCACAGCACACAGTGCAACTCTAACACAGTTTAAATTGCTGCCCAGTGAAAAGGTCTCATAAAACAGTCAGAAATATTATGGTAAATAACCAAACATATCCATACTGTTTCTGGGATCCAAAGTTACACCAACAACTTCTTCCAGCTCCTGGATTTCTAAGGAAGATCCTGCAATGAACACTTGGGACTAAAGACACTGATGCAAAGCTTGAGGTACCTGTTCTCGACTAGTAAGAACTGAAAGAGACTCCTATGGAAATCTGCTTCCCACATTATTTTTAAAGCCTTCACATACTTCCACAAAAGTATGGATTAGTAAATTTAACCTTGTCTTCAGAACACCCGTCTTTTTACAAGCTGTAATAAAGGACAAACTGACTCTTTCTAGATTATGAGCACAAATGAAGAACAGACCCAGAAGGCAAAGCCTAACATACATTACAGTCTAAATACTACACGACTTTGAAAAATCCTCGGTGTAAGAGCAAACAACAACTTTGTTTTACCAGCTAAATTCAGACCCATTCGGTATCCACTGCCCTCTAACAGGAAGCGACTGGTTTGGGCCGCTGCAGGTGATCACTGAGCTCGGGAGAGCAGCAGCTGTAGAAAGGTACGGCCACAATCCATCATCTGGCTCGCTCATGAGCTCGCTGATTAACAAACCCAAGGCCACACAAGTATTCAGTAAGGCAAGGAAAAAAAATCAGAGGGAGTAGAGCGGGTAATTAAACTTTTCCAACCTCAACATCCCTGCCCGGTGCAGGGAAACACATGGGAACATTCCTCTCGTTGGCTTGCGTCCAGAGTCCTTCTTGGACTTATTAAAAGGTTGCACTGCCATTCATATCCACTTAAAGCCTGTTAAAATTGTGTAAGGGTCTGGGCATTCTTAACACTAAATTGACTTTAAATGATCTGTGATTAGGAGTTTTGAACAATAGTAAGTTATAAATATAGAAGAAAAAGCAGAAAGATTTTCCATGGCAGGTGACTTTCGAAATACGAAACTCAGACTGTGTAGGAGCATGAAGAATCTGAAGTACATTTGCTCGCTAGCTGGTCAAATTATGTGTCTGCTGAACAATCACTGAAGGGTGCAGTGAAAGGACAGCAGAAGTAATACAGGAGCTAAGTGAGGTCAAGAAAACAAGAGGAAGTCAGGAAAGAAAGGGACCTTGAAGAGTGAGGAAAGCACATAACACATACCARCATTTACCAAAACCTATCCCACGTTGCTCTGTGCAGCATTAAGGATGTTTCAGGTGAAAATGTATCATCTTCACAGAATCATAGAACGGTTGAGGTTGGAAGGGACCTCTAGACATCATCTAGTCCAACCTCCCTGGTCCAGCAGAGACACCCAGAGCATGTGGCACAGGGTGGCATCCAGACGAGTTTTGAAGACCTCCAGAGGTCTTACGGAATC